GCGCCGAAAGATGCTCATTGGTCGAAAATGCGGCCAGCACATGACAGAACCACCACAACAGAATGCACAGATGCGACTGGATCACCGCTGTTGCTTCTCACAAAGCATGTTTACTTAGCAGTGGCTGGGTGGGTAGGTGGGTGGAGTGGGTTGGTGGCGTTGGGAGAGCCAATCCATGACATGTTCATTTCTGTTTGTTGAGACTGATCTACCTCAAGGGCTTGTAGGTTGCCGGCGTAAACCTCCTGCGCAGAATCTGTTGCAGTCAGACCGCCCATCAGCCCAAACAACGCATATTCAAAATCAAACAGCGGATGCAGCTCAAGAATGTATTGCGTGGCGTGGCGTGTGCGCGCAGATTGAACTCCCAAAAGGTCTTGGACGAGCAACGCAGCCACGCCAGCGCCAGCGTCGCAACCCGCTGTGGGCTTTCGTTTTCTCCAAAGTGAAGAAATGGAGCACCAAGGAATTCGGCGCAAGACTCGAAAACGACACAGTGGAGCACAGACCAATCCATCACGAAACGAATCGTTTTGAACCAATCCCCGAGCGGCGGCAACGGCAGCTTTCGCGCGACGGAGGGGCAAATGCCGCGCCCACAGCTGCGTCCATCGACCCGTAGCCATCGCTGCGCGCACCCTCCACGCGGATGAGGAAAAGCCTCTTGACCTCAGCCACTCGGGTGGCGAACGCCTTCACGAGGGCCGCGAAGGGATCCGTGTCCAGATCTTCGATGCCCTGTTGTCCGGAGGCGCCGGCGGCAGGACACGCCGCGGGCAGGAGCGAGAACGGCTGCCTGCTCATGGGGAGGCGGCCAAGGGGGAGCGGAGGGGGCGGGGCTGCGGGGTGGGGATTGCTTGTGCGCCGTGGTCAAAGGGAAGAGAAATGGCGGGAACGGGGGCGGAAGGAACATACATTGACCCCATCCACTTCTGCCGCCTCTCACCCGAGCGAAGCAGTGTCCACGATCATTGCATCAGGACTGTCGCCGCTGCAGCGGCCGTGGTTTGAATTGGAAACTCCGGTCAAATGATCCTATTTGGAGTCATTGTGATCGGTTGAAGATCGGCACGACAGATTCCTTGCACAAAGCGCTGTTCCATTCAGAAGAATGCTTGGTCTGCCATGCCTGGATCGAGAGCGATGGCTTGAGCTCCAGACAACAGGGCGTCCACCTCTCTTGCCAAGCCTTTGCGCAATGGATCATTGCGAGTGGTTGATTGCTTGGACCTGTCTCTCACTGTCCGAAACCATGATTTGCGCCATCGTCCCCAATGGAGACGCTGAAGAGCGGTCAGCGCTTTGACAACCAAAGCGTGGCTAGATGTTGCAATTCTCTTATTGAACATCAATGCTGGGTTCTGTTTGTGCTCTTTGTACAGTCTGCGTGCACACAGCACCCATCGCGATGTGCGACTGGGCGATGGCATCGCAGTTTCAAGTCATCACCGACTGACCAGCTGCAACCTGTGTCGATGTCTACAATTCTGCGCAATTAGGGGCCCATGCAGAGTCATGTCAGAGTCCATTGCGGGGTCATAATGCTGTTGACTTTGTGCTGTGTGCTACCAAAGAGCTTACTAATGCAACGTTCTCTTGATGAATTGATGCCCAAGCATCGCCCTGCCTCGAATCAAATCTAATCTACAAAAGAATTCCTTCCTGGCCCTCACTGCCCAGGCTCCAGGATAGGTGCACGAAAATTGCCAATCCACCAACCTCCACAGTTCATGTATTGATGCAGCTCACGCACTACCTCCATGCGCCTGCCAACCTGTTATCTCATCAAAACTTGAACTTGGAACTAACGTTCTCGAATGAAGGTCAGTCATGGTCCACAGCATATGCTGCGGCAGGCACACATATGAATCCCATCGGGCAGGCAACATGGAGATAGGAAAAGTCCCCTCAACATTCCGCCCCTTCACACGATGTCCTATCACTTCTTTCAGTGGCAACCATCGAGTCTTTTTGAGATATGCACATGCAGTCCGAAAAGGACATGCTCTGCTAAACCCACAGCCTCTTGTTGCCCTCATCTGTTCGCTTTGCCGACTCGCCACGAAGGCTGCTCTTGATACCCTTGGCAATAAGCCCCAACGCCCGGCCCAGTAGCGAGACCAGCAGGAATGACACGAGATCCCCAAGCTTGTTCAAAAACGTCGTTGCCAAGGGTGTGATGGCATCGAGGCCCTCAAGGGCTATACTCACAGCTAGTCGCATCCCAGCCAGCATCGACAATTCCTGCAGTGCAGCGCATTCAGTCGGATCCTTAGAAACAGGCAGCATCTTTCGTTACCATTCACAAGGGCAAAGTGGGTTGTGACGAAGTGTGGGAGAAGCAGACTGGACTGCATGCATGCATGCCACAAGTCAGGTGGCAAGCGACATACAGCATGCCGCCCTTCCGCACTCTCAATACATTGCTAGTCCACTGCCTAAAAGTCACACGCTCTTGCCCAACATTCCTCGTCAAAAGACATTCCTCAGTGGCTTGGGCCGCGGGAGTGAAATTCGCATCACCTTGGCTCAGATGCAGCCTGTTCCAAGGATAGCATGATCTCATACCTTTTTCCTCCTCGCCTGTACTCTCCGCTGTAGCAGGCGTCCTCCCTTGTGAAAGCCCCATAGTAGGTGGTAGTCTTCAAAAATGGCAACTACAGATATGAACTGTCGATACATGAAACGACTCAACAAAACGCGATTGCGAAACCTTTCGAGAGACCTTGTGTTCTGAAGCGAAGGCTGTAGGCAGGCTGGCCAATCTGAGCCAGTGAGGGCATCATCTGGCGTTTGCAAAATTCACCCCAATGGTCAGAGTCAACGCATGCAAGAAACACTGAAAGGACACACTCTCACGATTTGGAGTCCAGCTGATGCTCGACTGAATCGGCATGGCCCATACTGGCAATGCATTCAGAATGTTTGGTGCAATACACAATGGAAGCGCCGCAGAATTTGAAGCTGTCTTGGCAAAATTGTAAATCGAGCCAAAGACACTGCCCTACACATAATTCATTCATGCAAAGGTCTACGGGCAACATGGCAGAGACTTTGACAGCAGCGCTTCCTGCTGCAACTTTTACAGGCACAAGGGCCTCCATATCACATGGTCAGTCCCAGGTACTCGAAACATCAACAAACACTCCTGAACATCATAACACAGAAGGGAACAAGGCAGTACTGTCTAACGTTCACGCAAAACAGATACCAGACTCCATCAGCTACCTGCATCCCCATCCACCGCGGCATCTCTTACGCTAGCTAGGTAGTCGGTTGCCACAACTTCTGCGACGCACACTGCAAAGTCTTGCACAATAAACGGCGATGAACCCAAGACACAGCCAGATGCACCAAAGCCAGACACCTGAGGTACCTCGGCACTCGCTGGCATCATGCTATTGTCCAGTGCCAGCTTGTTGGACATTGGAGTGACCACACCGCCATCTGCTAGCCCTTTGGGGGACTGTGAGCTCACAGCCAACGATGGGCTGGTATCAAGCAATGTACTGCCATTGCTATCGTACCTGGTGCCCTGCACACCAGTTCCAACTTCTGATGCACCAGTCTCTGGGTCCCCTTTGAGAGAACCACCAGATTTAGCAAACAGCAAAGAGCCAACACTGTTGTTCTCTTCCCCATTGTGATGCACCCTGGCCTCCGAAGCAAAGTCAGCATTGAGTTGACCTGTTGGGATTGGGGCTGCTGTGTGTGCCTGTGCAGCATCATTTTGCAGCCCTCGAAGCTCCAATTGTGATGTCTTTTGCGGCTGGAACCGCAAGTATCGGACAACAGCTGAGTATAATGGCATCCGTTCTCCAACAATGTCAAACAGGCTAAGCCATGCATTGCCCTCTTCTCCAGCAGGTGCACTGTTTGCTTTGTCTTTGTTACCCTTCTTGGGGTTGCCTTGTGTCTGCTGGCTGTTGCTGGATGCCAACCTGTAGCAACAATGCAGCAAGACTGCCTCAGATGAGCGATCTGTGACGCAAGCACAAGGACTTCACACTTGTTCGTTGCATGCCTCCTTGCACTCTCTGTTTCTCTCCAAGAGTCCCATTAAGGACACAACAACATCTACACTCTTATCACCAGATGAGGACAACAGTGCGCATTGCAGCAACGAGGGACTTATCCCATGGAATCCCCAAACTAGCTCAAACCCAATGTGTTGGCCTTTGCTGCTGCAGGGTTGTTGCAACCTTCATCAAGTGGAAAAGACATAGCAACAAATTCACATCGCCTTGCAAAGCCTTATGAAACCAGCATGAACCAACAGAATTGGACATGAAGGACAGGAGAGCAGAAGATGCCATGCTTTGCAGAGGTTAAGGGTGGATCTTGTTTTCTTGGCGGAAGCATTCGCACTGGTGGTATGTATCTTGCAGATGTCTGGATGTGATTCAATCCTGGCATTGGTAGTGTTCCCAGCCCTGAGGAGTTGGGAGTGACAGATGTTTGAGCCTAGTTCGCTTTCAGCTCTGCAACTTATTGTGATGATACCAGGTTTCCAATAACAGTCTGTATACACCATACATGAAGAATGCTACCTTGCAACAATGCAGTGTGTTCTCTTCAGATGAAGTCCAATCCTGAACAGAACCCTGTAGGCCTGCCAGTCTCACAACGGTGCAAATCTGTTACACTTCTGATATTCCGGTACCTATGGTTGCACAGATGTTCAGAAGCTTACTTCCCATCGCTGCAGAAACCTGCCGTTCACCTGTCAACCAAAGCAGGTGCGTTTGCCGCCAGCCCTGCCGGTGTATCTCCTCTCCAGTGACTCGCCGTTGCCAAGCAGCAGGACACAAACAGTCTGGCCACAGTGCTCCGCCATTCCTTGGGTGAGCATTGCCTTGCTGCCTCAGGCATCGCCAGCACTCGCTTGTGGACCTCACTGAGGGCCGTCGCCATCAGCCGCAGACGCGCTGGAGGCCTCAGCGCCTGCAGGTTCAGTGGCAGCTGGTGAGCTTTGGCTGGGAGGGTGCCAGAGGACGGGGAAGATATGCTCGTGCCCCTGCCATCTCCAACAGGTTCTATGCCACCCCAGGCTCTTGACCAGACCTGGAAAGACAAACAAGAGTCTAAATCTTTGGCAGCGGAGATAAGTGAAGCAGAGAAAAAACAATTTTTCAGTTCCACCGCAGATTCGTACCAGGTCATCAGGTCTTCAGGGAAACAAGAAATTTGCCAGTGACACACGACCTCAAGTGCATAAGACTTTCATTACATTCTGCTTTGACGTGCTTGTGTATATATTCTGAAACCCGTGAACACTGTTTTCATACCAACAATACTTGTAGCCTTCCCTGTTGCAATTGGGGAATTTCTGCCTAATCCAATGAGAAAACTCTTGTAAAAATTGAGGGGAGGGTCTGCACTTCATTAATTTTCCATTCTTGTTAACAACATTCACTCTAGGTCCCATGACAGAAAACTTCAGAAAGAACACATACTTTGATGCACTGCAAGAACTGGCCATGTGACATGGGAGCTCAGACGTAGGAAGCAAGTGTTTCATCCCTCAGTCTCACATTCTTGCTTTTTCAGCTTGGTGTATGTGTCAGGATGCAAGCATTCTTGCAGCGGCTTGCATAATCCCAATAACCATGGTGCCACCACAAGATACTACAATATTGGGCATTAGTTTGTCACAATACGAAGATGGGTGTCAAGTCTTCTCTACTAGAAGAATGAAATGTTTCAAATCCTGGAGAATTGAGCGATTGGAGTTCTCTAGTTTTGGTTTGAATGGCCAACAACAGAAGTATGCACTCCCAGAAATGGCGTACTCTGCAATATTCTGCACTAACTGCATTTTTGCTACAAGACAAAACATCTTGAGAAGGCAGAAAAATCAGCGGTCTTTGTCCCAACCTTGCCAAGCGACTAATAATGATCAAAACATGTCAGCCGTTTATGCACACAAGAAGGAAATCCCTAAGCCTGTATTTGCTTTCCAATCCCAGACAAAACAGTAGGCTTCAGAATACAAAACAGCAGAATCTGTGGGTGGATTTCAATGGCAAGAATAAAGGCTGGCAAATAGCAGTCAGCCAATTGCAAGTCTATTTAGATATTGAGATAAACTTGATTACAGCAGTCACACTTCCCGTTTTTCTAATACACTTGCCTCCTCTGCGCTGGGGACTGTGCTCACAGTCATGTCCTCTGGCCCCAGGCCCTGTGAGAAGGACAAGCTCGGGGGACCACTCCCCAGGCTCTGCATGCCATCATTCGCAACTCTTGTTTCCGAGTCACCTTCCAGAGATTCTGGATACAGTCATCACAGCATGCTCAGCACCCATGCTGTTAGTCTTGTGGCAAATTTGTAAACGAAACAACTACTGCACAGCAGCTGTCATATAAGCTCATGTCGCTGGCCTCCCGATGCATGTGCGCCTGGATGCAGTTCCAGTGAACAGTCTTCAGATTCCAAATTTCATGTCACATTCCAATCTACGGATACCACCAACCCCCAAACAGGTGGACTGTGGTGGCAAATCCGAAGGCCAGAAATGTGGGGTTCGTGCCACTTCACAAACTTGGATGCTGATGTTGGGCCCAAAAGATTGATCATGCGATCACCTTGCACCATCAGTGTGACAGGCGCATGAGACACTGCCGAAAAGGTGCAAGGCTACTGCTTTACCCAACAAAGCAAAGTGCGACCAAAGTGCACTTGCACATGTTGATGCATCCACACATCCCTGCTGTGCTTGTGGAATGCATCTGTCCAGCCTTTTAGTCTGCATGCATGACAAACCAGGGTGGGGCTTCTATTTCTAAGCAACATATTTCTTCAGATGCTGAAAGACAAGCATCTCTCCTCTCCCTGATTACCTGCTATGGCACATTTTGCCTCTATTTGTTTGCCTTTGTCCACACCCAGCCTCCTGCTGCTGCATTCTACCACGTCTTGATAGTTTAAAGTGAACACAAGGAGGCTTGTTTGCAATGGTCAAGACTTGCAATACAACATCAAGCAAGTTTGGGGAATCACAATATTGCCAGAAGAGCCTGGTTGCAATCCACAACACATAGAAACCAGTTGTTACTTGATTCCAAAGATGAGAACATTGTACAAGACAGCCAATGGTGCCAAAAATGCACTACTTGGCTGCCATCTTCGCCACAATGTTGAAGTCGATGATTTCAATTGAAAGCTAAGAAACCAATATACCTTGTTCCTGTGAAGTTGAATATCGCCCTGCAGTGAATGCAATCGCAGCAGTCATCAGGGTCATGCCCAGCAGCTGGGAGAGCTGTGAGAGCTGCTCCAATGCTGGCATTCCAATTATGGCATCTGTGCTGAAACTTGGGCAGACTGCTAGACCACAACAACAGGGTTTTCACAACCATGTCTCTGGTGCATCTGTTGTAAGCCCACACAGCAGGCAGCAGGATTATGCGTGCAACATCTGAGCTAAATGCTTCCACAGGCTCCCAAGGGCTCCCGCATGTTTTCCAGGTTAGTTGCTGATTGACCCATCGGACACGAGCCCGAATATGTGAACCACGGTTTCAGGGTGACCAGTTGATGCATTGGACTGCCATTGCACAAACAGAAAGCGGATTGGCATCAAAACTTCGATGACTTCTGTGTTTTATGGAGGGCAACCAACGATCTGTTGGTGCATTATACAACCAGATGGGGCTGTTAAGGGAAGCTTTACTTGCCAGTCTATCAAAGTTGGAATGCCTTTGCTTTGGCTCATCCTCAAGACATGCATCAGCGGTCTGGGTACGCAGGCTGTGGAGGCCCACGCCACTTCAATGCCATGCGCACGAGCGACGGCGGGCAGACATGCCGACAAAATCCTGCGTGTTTGAACTCCTAACCTGTACGCCTCCGCACCGCGCCTCCGAACGAGAGTGCACATGGAGCCTTCCTGATGAACAAACCAGCAGCCGTGAGCCTGCCTGAAGGCAAAAGGACGGCTTTGGTACTTTCCACGAGAACGTGCACGCGGCTGGGGAACGAGCCATGGCGCACGCGCTTCTGGCATCTCATTCAGGGGTGGAGGAGGGGCAGCTCCACAATGCGCAAGCAATGCTCTTGAACAAGTTGTGCGTAGTCCCCACCCTTCAGAACAACGACTGCTAAAGGATGGGGCTCATCGCGTACCGCACTGTTCGCACTCAGGTTTCCCGATCAGCATGGCCAATGGGCCAAGGCGAACTCAGCGGACACCGCTCCAAAGCCGCCCCAAAGTGAAGCCCAACCACAAACCGGCGATGGATTTCGCTCCACAATCAGCTGTTTCCAGCACGGATCACGACCACAGGCGCCAGCCACCCGCAATCGGCCCCCCGCCCCATCGTGCGCCATTCCCAAGGACACCCACAATGCAGCCGCGGGTCGCCATTCAGGCACTTTCAGTCGCACCCACCTCCAGATCTCAGCCCCGCTCGGCCCGCCGCGCCGCCAGCGAGGCCCGCATCCCAGCCACCTGGCCGCAAAGGCGACGGCCGCTGGGCGCCCAGGCCGAGATGGGCACCGCAAAATTGCAGCTGATGTGATCGCCATTGGCCGGGTCGTGCAGACCCCACGACACTGGGGGACCCGACTCCGCCGCGTTCGGCCCGGCGAGGCGCAAGATCCGCAAGCGGGCGGGGAGGCCGGGCTCCTCTGCACCAGGCTGGGCCCCCACTGGCTCCCGGCCCAGGCCATCATCTGTCCGAGGAGGACAGATACTAGCGCTGGGGGACCGACCGGCGCCGGTGCGCTGTGGCCCAATGTACTGGCCCGCCCCGGCCATTGGGGGTCCACACAGGGCAGATTGCAGGGCGTCGTTGGGGCGCAGACCCGTCTCGGCGTGAGGCAACGAGAGCGGCGTGTGGCGGAATTTGCGAGGGCCCGAGGGCCTAGGACCAGGTAGCGGGTGGCGCACAGGCGAGGGCGGCGTCCGATCTGTCCCGACGCGTAGGACATCGCCGGAAAAGACCTGCCGCTGGCTGGGCCGGCTTTTTCTCCGCGACTTTTGGTGGGGGAATGGCGATCCCCTGCGGAGCCGAGGGCCGGTGTGTCTGTTGGGGGTGGCGGCGCCGCGCGGGGAAGGCGAAAGTGATGTGCGAGGCGTCCTGCGGCCGGTCTGTGTGTTTGAGAGGAGGCCACCTGGCAATGTGTAGTGCGTCCTGCGCTCGCGCCTGATCGCCTGTTTTGCATGGGTGGGGTGTGTGAGGCTGGAAATCGAAAGCCGAGCTGCAGAGCTCAGACGGTATTCTGTTTGACTTGGCAAGGAGTCAACTGGTGCCGTGAGGCGGCGCCCTCCAGATGGACAAGGATGCGGAACAAGTGCTGCCAACTGAGTCGCTGCTGAAGGTGGGGACGATTGAGACCCAGAGATTTGATGGCGGTGTTGGAGAGCTGCCGAAGGAGTCGCTGGACGTCAGATTCCAAATCCTTAGTGATTGAAACGGCCACTGCCTCGGAGGCCAACCGTTTCCCATTGCCCGTCCAAGCTGACGGCCTGGGAGCTCCCCTGAAGCGAAAGGAATGGCATCGACTGTGCTCCTGTACTCTTGTTCCACGACTCTACGCAGTGGGCTTTGCTGTGGGGGCCGATGGTGGCAGGGTCTAGCCCATTGTACACGCAACCATTGTTCACAGTTTTCCTCAGATGTGCGTGTGTGAATGTGTGCTGAAATCCCAGGAAACCACAGTCATGCATTTGAGCACCCCTTCCAAGCAAGTATACAGCGGACCCTGTTGCAGCGCGATAGGTGCTACCGTCGGCAAGCATGAAATCGAAGGCATGCACCAAACACACAAACATGTACTCTGGGGATGTCTGCAAGAACCAGCTTGTCACTATTGTTCATCGTAGCTGTACGAAAACGCAGACGTGCGTGTGTGTGTCCGTCCAGATGTGTTGTCGTCAGGGTTTGTGTGTGTGTGTGTGTGTGTGTGTGTGTGCACAGTTGTCAGCTCCTAAATCTGGGTATGAGGGTACCCAAAGGAATTCATGTACAAAATGGGACTGCAGATAGCATTTCTGGATGAATTGTCTGGTGAACGAGATGTCGTTGCGTGTTGTGTTATGGGATCATTGTGTGCTGATCGGATCATCTGCTGTTGTTTGTAGGAATCGCCTGAGGGATGTGCATTTCGATTGGCCAGCGCTGCAGCCCTCAGCTTTTCCATTGGTTCCATATATGGAGCATTGTACTCCAACTGGGGGGTGAGTTTGCCAGAAAGCTTGGCATCAGGTGTCCTGGAGCAACCTCAACATTTCATTCATGGTTTGTTCAGACTGGAAGCACACGATGCTGTGCACTGGGTCCTACTTTTTGAACAGTGCGTGCTTGACTCTTTTTGGACGGTCAAAAAGACACTGGGGGCATCGCTGGAGCAAGACAGGATCGCAGCAGTGACAGTCCGTGAGCATTCTCATTCCCGTGTGAGATTTGCTCTGTTCCTTGATCTCAGTGTTCCTTAATGGTTTGCCAAAATACCTGTCATGCATCAGTACAGCCCAGACCATGACCAATCACTAACCGCATGCACCAGGGCGGAAATATGCACTGCATGCCTTGATGGGCTGTGCTAAAGTGCATAATTGATGCACATTGTATCCAATGGCGCTGTCACCTGGTTTAGCACTGAAGTCCTGCCTGCTGCTTGTGTCAGCAAGTTAAACACTTGCCTAAAATGAGAACAAGAGAAGTCATGAAATGTGCAGTCGAAGCAAGTGGTGATCTCCGCATCCTGCACCTGCTGATGCGGTAGCAGTGCAAGGCATCGGTGCCAGTCACAAGTGGGAAAGTGCTCGCATCTTGTTGCTGGCAGTGGGGAATCAAATGAGTTTGTTTCATTCTGCCGACATCGTGAATATCTGCCCTTTTCCAGTCATGGGGTACAGTGACAAAGTCCTGATCATTGACTCGCTTTATCTCCAGTCATCTGCTGCCTAATCCCTTCTTGGTACGTTTTAACTCACAGGACATACCCAAGGTAGTGGGTAATCGATTCGGACCAGCCCTCGCAAGGACAGGACAAGTGATGCTGTCCCATGGTTCCTTCTTTGCAGCCACTGGCATCATGTATGCAGGCGGTGAGTGCATGTCAGAATGGATTCGTGGCAAGAGCGACTACAAGAATGGGATGGTGGGTGGCTTGGCAGCAGGCAGCATCGTCGGCCTGCGCACCCGGAGCATCGCGCTCGGAGTGGGTGCCAGCGTGGCGATGGCATTCATGTCAGCAGTTGTTGACTCCACAGGGCACAACATCAAGGGTGACGGCCTGAAAATCGACGATGGGGCAATACCCACCAAGCCAGTTTACTCCCATGCCGTCCAGCGCTAGGGCGAAATGGCCATTTCGTTGAGCAGAGCGGCGGGCTGCTGACGCGCAGCTGCCTTGGCACCAGCCCTGCAATTGGGTAGGCCAGCGGGGTAGGCATGGCAATACTGAAAGGGGGATGGGGACGCCTTGGCTGGCATTCGTTCTGTTGTGAATGCAACGTGTTCAGTGCATCGCACATGGGCTCTTTCCCATCGTTCGGGCCTCTGTCGTCGCCTCTGGCCCAGCAATCTGGGCTCGCTGCACTCTCCCGGCCACGATCTCATGCTAAACTTGGTTTCACGATGTGATGAAATGATGCAGTTGGGATGATGAGACACTCACTCCACATCCCATACCCCGAGGCAATCTACTTTGCAACGAATGCTTGGAGCTGCACCAGCAGGTGGTCGATTGAGGGGATGAATGAATGCAACGTTGGGGGTGCCACTGGAATCAAACCCAGTCCGGCTGCAGCTGTGGAGTGCCTTGTGTGCGACTGGCCCAAGGAACAGACAGGCCAGATGGCCCTGACAGGATCGACGTGAAAGGCAACCGTCAGCCCCTCTGACCCCCATACCCTGGGCACAATCCACTCAGGTATCTCCCAGAGCAACTTTGCGCACTGGTCTTTCTAGGTACACGACTGGTCAGATAGACTTTTTAGCCACAAGATGGATTCATCCACTAGCCCTAGCTTGCATTCCTTTAATCCCTCCCAGTGGAAGTGGCACTCCGTACTTCTGAGGTTTGTCTGGACCCACAATCAGGGTGTCGTCTCTTCTTTCCTTTTCCGTGATCATTCCATGCTGGCTTACTCGGGACATCTAATGCGCTGTGCATCCCCACTACCACATGTTTGCCCATCTTTGGCCTTGATCATTGCTGACGCACCCAGTGAAACGGTGGACGTTATTGTGCACATATTAGGCGATGTGGCGACGCTATAAATAGGCAGTGCGGTCCCAAGCAGAGGGGTTTCCATGCAGAGGGGCATGCTAGGCGCACTAGCCAACACCCCTCAAGTGCAGAAGTGGGGCATTGTGCGCAGTTGCCCGTTAGCTCGTGTACGTGCGTGACCGCCATCGTTTCCTTGTCCCATGCTCTGAGCTCGCGCCATCGCCACCATATCTTCCTGGCCAGCGGCACGAGGTTTTCCGTCCAGAACCTTCCCCCTACCTGATGCCGCACCCGTGCTGTTGTTCGTTCCACAACCACCTGGCACCTGCCGGATGTCGGAGACTACTGCACCCGCCGAATGTCGGAGACTGATGCACCCACCGCGTCGATTGCAAATATATTCTCAAATCTTTTATCTATCTATAATATATTCTCAAATACATTCCCACTTCTTGCAACAAACGAGTTTTAAGACACAACCTTCGCAATGTGCGAAGCTCGTCCTCTGGGTTTCTCAGCCCGTAGCAAACCAGACGTTGTGCAATATGAAGATGCGGCGGCAGAAGCGGCCGCCTTGGACTGATGTGGGACTGATCTCACCACCGCCGAGCACGTGTTGCGGTGTCAGCCACATTCACAGAACAGCCGATGCTGCTGCATATCGGGTGAACATTTTGCGCAGAACGTACCACTATAAAGTCCAAGTCCGTCGATGCAACGGGTGCAACACGAAATGTAGCAAGCGCGGCTTGGCTGTCCTTGATAGTGCACTACCTAAACATATCATTTACATATGAACAGATGGCAGTACAGACACACGCACAGCAGAAAGCAAAGGAGCCTCGAATCCCTGTTCCGCGCACCTCTTGTCAGCATTCCCCCAACCCGCTCGCCAGACCAAACGTTATTAAGCACACCACGCAACCTGCATCTACACTACCATGCGCCAAGGGGTCCTCCATATGCCCTAGATCGGCAACCATTGACGTATCCTTGGAATTGCGTTTCAACTCTAAAAGTGGAGGTCATCCATGCGGCATCCCCCTGCCTGCAATTAGCAACGCCCCAGCCGGTTGAGCACCCTCAAACCATAAGCGGGGTTCCTAGATCTATCATGCTGGAGCAGCTGAGCTGAGGCGTCTGCTTTCCGATCCCCATCACCTTCCCTACCAGCATGCCAACGACGCCTCCTCCCAAGTTGTCTCCATTTATTCTTGCCAGCTTGTCCATGGACTTCTGCATGTGGCAAAGAATTTGTCCATAGCTCTGGTTGATGTCCCCCATCTCTATTGCCTCGATGAAGCTGTACGTTGCAGCGCCCGAGTTTGTGCCACCAAGCTCCGCTGTGTCCTGGGCGACTTGGGAATCTTTGCAGGCACCAAACTGGAAGGCGATGCCCCCGGAAGTTCCCTACAATGCGCTCCAAACAGCGTGTGAGCAACTGCTGCCAGGCACCATCTCTGGATGAAAGGATTTCACAACTTCGGGCAAAGAGGCAGGATCGCTTCCTGAGCTTTACATGTAACATGGGCCCGCCGCCCCACCACTGGCAGAACAGGGCATCTTGTCCATGCTGGACTCAGTATCCAGTGAAAACAAAAAGAAAAACAAGAGGCACTCGTAGATGCTGTGTGCTCAGGGCGTACAGAATGCTACACACTGAAAATGTCCCCACGTCCCTGGTCAACAGCGCCACATTCTGCCCACAAGCCAAAAGTCCAGCCAGCGATGCAAGCTTCACCTTGAAGGAACATAGTTGCCAAAGGGCCGCTGGGGGTGTCGTCCACAGCTATGTTCTCATGGCCGTTATGCTTGCAGCCATGGTCTCATGTCGACATGCACACCCACTCCCAAGACTTTGCACCATGCTCCCCCCATGCTCACCTTCGACCTGGCTGGCTTCCTATACATGTAGTTGTCTTTCCATTCGAACCGCCCCTGCCTGCATTTGGTGTAGTACTGCAAGTCCATGGCAGTGCCACTGTGGCAGGCGTCAATCACACAGTGGAGTACCACGCCATTGGGTAAAGGATTCACCACCCTGATGTTCACCTCGTCGTCGATTATCTGGCCCTCTGTCCGATAATCCGTTGGAAGGAGGGTCTCATTGAATCCATCCTTCTCTTCCCCACTGTAGTCCCTCTTCTGCGAGCCATGACCTGTGCGATAGAAGCATTGCGCTGGTGATTAATACCTCGAACATGAGTCTCTTATATTTCTCAATCGAAGAAACACTTCACTACACTGGACCACAGCCAAGTCCATTGCGAGGAACCCTGGTGGGCAGACAGAAAGCAACCTTGCTGCTCTGTGCCGCATGCTTTCCTTTGGCCCTGCAGGGATCTACCTCAACTGTTGACGAACAGAGTCTAGCAGGAATTTTCACCAGGACCAGGCGTGGCCAAAAGGATGAAAAGTTCTGCTTTTGGTCAGGTCGACATTCCACACAAAGGCAGAGGGTTGCTGTGATGGTGGTTCTTCGAGCGGAACTTCACAGGGTGAATATTCGCAAGCAAATGCTAGAACAGTTTCAGCCAAACACAAGCACAGACGCCTGAATAAGCATGATAATTTCTGACTCTTGACAAAGCAACAGTCAGCTAAAGCACGCTGTACATGCTGTAGGCAGCTGTCGCCTTTGGCAACCATGATGGCAAACCCACGCATCTGTGGAGGTTTTCCAGGGCGCAGCCAGGCTGTGCGTCCCTGTCAAGCTGTCAGCTACAGTGGACGAAGTGAATCTACGAAACTATGTTGGGCCACGCAGTTACAGCCGATTTCAACTTGGCTCATTTGTTATCCTGCTTATGATTTTGCACTGTGTGCACCAGCCACTTTCACAAAACACTTTGCAAGAGGCATATCTTGATGAGGTCTCCAATATTTAATCAACAAAAACAACATGAATGCACTTCCTCCATTAACCTGAGCATCCCACACTGCTGTCATAGTGCGGATCACAGCAACCCAGAGACCAAAACTTGCAAATCGGGTAACTCAGCAGGCCAAAATAGCGTGGTGTGCAGAAACATAGGAGGGCCAAGAAGCTTGTAGGCACTGGCTTCACAGATTCGCAGATGCAATTTCACAACTTCCAAAGCCACAACAAATTTGGCCACTGCAGTACTTGCCTGAAAAATGCAGGAATAGCCTGTCCCCATTCTGGGCACCCTGCACCAACCACATGAAGCCTGCAAATATGTTCCTCTTGGTGGGGCGCAGTGGCCCTCCCTGGTCGTCTGTCATAACCCTTATGTTCTCCTCTGGGAACTTGAATTTTGTCATCAACATGTGCTTCATGTAATTTGCATCATTAATACAACCCTGCACATGAAGTCACTGAGCACTTAGGTTGTGTCATCTCCTAAAAGCTGTCTGACTACACATCAGTAGGGGGAATGCTTCTTGCAGTACAGGAATGTGCAGATTGTCACAGGGTGTGGCTTAAATTTGGGCGCAGCACAGCCATGCAGTGGCAGCTTGGGTACAGCACCTCTGCTGCCAAGCTTAGCCAACAATGATCTGCCAGGCCATCTGACTTCACCCTGTCATCTGCCACAAGTAGACTCGTGGTTATCTTCAATTTGTCATTCAGGCAGTGTGTACTACACCCTCCAGTAGTTTTTCCTAATGACCTTGGTTAAACGCCCTTCTGCGTGCCCCAAGCACCCTAGATCCTCGATGTGACAAATCCACTGGTCTATAACAACCGCAAAGGCCAACCATATGTTAAAATGTTTTTCACAAACGCCCTCAAAGCGACTTAATTTGGTACCAGGGCGTGGCAGGACCCGGCACAATAGACTTGCAATCTCAGCAGAGTCTGGCACAGCATCCAATCAGTGCCATAGCCAAATTACTGAAATCGTAGTCTCATCATCATATTACTTCTTCTGTCCGGAATTGAATGGTGCCTTTTGTTTGAGAGGCCAAATTCATATCACACACTTATCTGTTCTTTACCAAAATTTCAGAACACCTAGTGTACTGTCATGTGATGCTCTGGTCAAAGTTTCAACTAAAAATATTAAGTATTGTGCAAATGATAGTACTTTGAGTCCGCAAAATGCGGGCACAACGTCGGAGAATCTCAAGGTCGGGGCTGGGGACCCCAAAAATGAGGCGCGAAGAGGGTGGCCTTGCACTTGACGTCGCGCACCAACAAATGGATATCTGCTGTCACCGTTGAGACAGCAGGTCAGAGCCTTCCCTGAGGCGAGGCAAGACCGTGGTGCCAGGCTTAAAACCACCCGATCGTCGATCCCCACCGTGGATTTCACCATCCAACCAGATGCACATCCTGAGAGCGGAAATCCGAAAATCGGCCGAGTTCACGATCGAGGGTCCTTTCAGTACACTCTGCCACCACTGACGAGGTGCGCGAGGCTTCTAAAGGCACTGCGAAAAGTTTGGAAGGAAGGCGTTCTCGTGCTTCTGCACAGGAGTAGAAAGATCACCAGAAATGGCTGTGGCTGGCACGCCTCAGCAGAGGGCTGCTGGGGCTGTTCACGATGCTTTGAAAGACGCCACTGTCCAAACTTCAGACGCTCACCACCCAGGATACTGAAAGGCTAGCCGCACAGACACTAAAGACCTCCATCTGCCCATCGAAACATTGTACTGCCGAGATTGGCAGGAGTTCATGGCTTGTTGAGAGGCATGTCCCTGCTCCAGGCAAGCCACTTGCCTGCAAGCCGCGACGGAACAGACAACCTTTAGCACACGCAGCGATAGGAAGGCGGGTCTTAGGATATCTAAGAACCTGCTAGAAGGTATGGGGCCTACACATGCCCGTGTGTCGCTGCAAACGATGGGTCGAAATCCCAGACAACGGCGATGGCGACAAACAGATCCCAGTGCCGTTTCTGCCAGTGTTCCACTGCGATGGTCGTCGATTATTGGGCCGGAGCCCAAGGTGCGTGAGCTGCTCTACTTTCACGGTGCTGTGGTGTCCACAGGAAAGGCTGCACTGGAGAGTGGGGCGTTCCTGGATGCAGAACGCCACCGCCAGCCAGACCAGTGCATCCCTGCGATGGGTCAAATTCCGGTCTGGAGGGGGCCATATTTGATGGCCTGCCAAATTTGCTGTAATGATGCGCTATCTACAAAATTTCGATAGCATTCAAAGAACTCATAGGTGGTGCTGTAGCTGATCTTCAACATAAAATAACGAGCTTCTACATGAATGCGGCCTCTCAATCAAAAGGTGACATTTAATTCCGGACAGAGGAAGTATCACATTGACTATCACATTAGTCACATCAGTCATACTAGTCAAATTGCTGAAAGCTGCGCTCTTTAGCAGTCAGTGTACCTTACAGCTCCATAACACAAACTGCTGAAGAGCTTACAGTTTCAGCAAAGAGCTTACAGCATTCATAGCTGTCAGGGCACCTTGAGCTCCGCGTTGGTCCCTGGGTAGTTGCAGCCAATGACCAGCGCCTTCTTCCTTGGCCTTTGATGCTGAGGCCTTACTTGCCCTGAGTATCCTGTTTGCATGGCAGGGCCGGTAACTGGACACAGTGAAAAACAGATTGAGACATACCTACCACTTACTGCATACAAAAAATTGCATACGCTGTCATGGCTAACAGGGATTGAGGCCCAATGCTGTCAAAAACTTGGCGAGTTGCAATCAAAGGACACAGACACAATGCCATAGATCAGTGATCTGCCATGCAATAGACAGACAAGCAGCAGCAAGCAGCAGCAGCAGCAGCAACACAAACACTAACTCGCACATCTGCCATGCGGCCCGATGCCAGCAAAGTCCAATCAATCCAATGCAACTGTCGCTCCATCTCCCCAGCACAATCCCACAGGCTGCCGGCCAGGGACCCGAGTGATCATCACCTTGCTGCCTGCTCGCGCCCGTTGCGGGCACCGGGTACGGGCCCGGTTGGTAGTGCCCGCCCGGCCGGCTCCTGCCCTCGGGCTGGCCGTACACCTTGCTGCCCTGGTCGCCGGGCACGGGCGGGTAAGCCGGCGCGCCCCCCTGGGGCGGGGTCACCTGGGGGTACGGCGGATAGGCCCCCGCGGGAACCGGGTAGGCCGCACTCCCGCCAGGCGCGGGTGGGAATGGCACACCGTACGGGGGGTAGCTCGTCGGCGGAGCCACGGACTGGGGAGGGTACGGGGACGCTTGATAGGCCGGCGACGCGCCCTGTCCGTATCCGGGAACCTGTCCGCCGTTCGCCGGCGGCGGGCCGCCGCCGTTGTAGGTGGGCACCGGGTAGGCCGTCGCGGCGGAGCCCTGGCTGGGGTAGGCCGGCGGGTAGGCGGCCGGCGCCGTTGGGGCCGTGGGGGAGTAGAACGGGGCCTGCGATTCGGAGCCCGGCGTCCTCGGTGGGCCCTGTCCGGCTTGCGGACCGCCTGGGGCGCCGGGGTAGGCGGGGTCCAACGGGATCGGCGGGTAGCCGCCGCCACCGTAGCCGGCATACGGGTAGGGGCCGCTCATCCTGCGCAGCGGGGGCGTGCCGGTCAGTCGAGTGTGTGTGTGTTGGGATTAGGACGGGGCTGGATGCCGATGAAGGCTGAGGAGAGGGGGGCGCGAGGGTAGGGAGGACTTGAGGGGGACAAGGGCCGGCTATAGCGGGAGGCCGGCGGGGAGCCAGCGGGCGGGTTTGCAGAAATTGGGACAGGGGGGCTTCGGGGAGCGTGGCGCGAGGGGTGTCCTGAGACCGCCCGAAGCAAGAACCCTAGCCAGCCGGAAAACTGCAAGAGAATGGCTGTGCGCGGTCGGCGGGGATGCGGAAGCCCGAGGGATCGCAGCATGGGGCGCGTCGGGCGACTGAGTCGATGGGGCGGTCGCACGCACGCGCCGCGTGGGGACGAGGGGCAGGGGATGCGGACGCGGGGAGCCGCAGGGTCTCGGTGGCTTCTGGGCCCGCGGCTCCCGCTCGAGCGCGAGGAAGGCGCCCCGCGGGGGGATCGCGGACTCCCTCCCAGCCGCTGCCCAACCCCGGTCGGAAAAGGGCGCTGTGGGGAACGCGGTCCCGCTCACCTCACGCGCCTGCCTCACCGTTCCCTGCGCGCGGTGAGAGCTGCGGAGGGTCCCGAAGCGGCACGGGCAGCGCAGGGGAACGGTCGCCCGTGCGCTCGGTGGCGGCGCTGAGGGGCGCTGACGGTGGGCCGGAACTGCGTGAAGGCAGGGGCCAACTTCCAGGAGCGGAGGGGTGGAGCGGATGGGGAGCTGCCTGTCTCGCCCTGTTCGCGGTAGCCTTCGAGTGAAATAGGCTGCCGCGTCTGGAGAAAATTCTGTAGCACAGCGTGATGGGACGTAATATGAAAGCATGTGATGAAGGTAAAAAGTGTTTTTCACCGTAACGTGGGTTCCAATAGTTTCGGGCCTCGCTTGTTTCACTAATTTCATTAGGTACACAGGGACAGGCCATAGCTGGATCCAGGCTAGCTTGTTATTTGACCGGGCATGAATGCAACACCTTCAATTGCAATCGGTGATGTTGCCTGGATGACCTACGGTTTGGAATAGAGCTCGGCACTGGCCACCCACTACCGTGACCCGCTATCCATTAGTTACTGTGCCGTATTTCTAATTTTTTTTCTATATTTACTTGTAATCGTGCGATTTTAGCATGTTTTTGACGTTTTTATTTTTTAAAAGTTTTTATTACTTTGTTCTTGTTACCGCTGGTGCTGCTGATTTTGCAAAAAATTGTCCTTGATTCTCTTTCCTCGTATTTCCCGCAATGGCCATTAACTTCGTCAGCAAATCCATTGGTTGCTTGTTTATCTATTGTGTATTTTTTCTTTTTACCTAGCCGGGCTCCTTGTTCCGCCCAGGTCCACACACGCATTGGACCAATACATTACAAAGACCACACTGTTTATCCCAATACAACCTGAGGTACCCACAACTTGTGTGCCCAATCACCCTCGGACATAATATACTTCTCTGGAGTAGAAGATGTGGCCATACATGTCATGCAATTCACGGGCGGTAATCGTCATCCACCCAAAACGACAGTAATCTCACTCCGATGGGATCCAATACACATCGATGTACTGCCACATCGCAGCTGTTACGCTTTTGTCCTTGGTGGGTCGAGACACCAGTACTTTAGGCTTTCCATAGAAAAACCCCTGTGGAACAATCTGCCTTAGGCAAGGTTTGAACTCATGGTAAGGTGGACCGGTTTCGGCGTTTGCCACAACGCCTCATCAGCACCATTATACTTAAGTTCTCCCATGGGTATTTATACCCTTTTTGCCACACTTGGCTGCTCCCACTAGGCCTCACAGTCTGGACCGTAACAACAGCGCTACGCGAGTCGCCCCAATGGTGGATGCGTTGCTCTGACACCTCCAAGGCAAAGCAGCCCGATGCCCCGCCCGCACATAGACCATAGTGATCGAAGGCGCCGGGATGCACATCCGGGGAGGAGGCCAGGAGGTGCCGGAAATAAAAAGAAACTACATGGGAAGATAGGTCTTGCTCATCCGGAAGGGTGAAGAAATACGCAGGCGCACCCCCCGCGTCCGCCCATGCGCGATCCCGAAAGGCGCTGCAACGGAGAAGAAGATCCACGGCTTCAGGGGCACCCCGGGAAGGCCATGAATGTAGGCAGATTGCAGCGTCCGCATCTGCCTTCAACTTGGTCCTGCACTCTTGGAAGATGACCACCCCATCCGCGAAGCTGTCGGCGCGGTCCCCCCTTGGCCGTGTCCAGGTACCCTGGCCCGCGCTCTAGGGCCTTTCCTGTGGAAGCGTGGTCGTCCTCGGTCGGACAGCGTGTCCCGAGCTCTCTCAGGCCCGTGGGTGACAGCTGCTCTGTGCGGTCCCGTCCGAGGCGCATGGTCGCTGTGCTCGAGGAGGCAGGGAGACAGGCGTTCCAGAACAATCGAACTACAATCGGCGCTGCCGCCTGGCGCTCTTACATGTGGCGGCCAAATAATGAAAGTCATTGTTTTCATTAAGAAACTCCATTTTGGCCGAACCCGTTTTCCGGCTAAAGGCCTCGCTACGCTCGGCCCTTATGCCCAAGTCGTTCCGGCCTGCTCCACTTTGCTCCGCATATGGCCTCCACGACTTTGGCAATGGGCCGAGCTCCACTCGGCAGAACAAGAAACCAATGGGTTGCTAGCACATTACCACGGAAGCGCACATCGTCTAGGAGAATAAAATGTCCGCTCTTGGACCGGTTCAAAAAAATGAAGTCAAGGGTGGCAGAGACCGCTGCCCATAGTAGCACCACGTCCTCTGTACACAGGCCCAACTCCAAGATATGGATGATGAGGTTGGACGGCACCGGCACATAGGAAAAGGCTGGCTCCGGGCATTGGCAGCGCCAAGACTGGGTGAGCAAATGGGTCACCCGGTCGAACGCATAAAAATGGAGGTGTCCCGCCACCTGGTGCACTATGGAAATAGCCGCCAGGTATTGCGGGAGGCTGTGAGCTCCCACCTTCCCTTCCCCATGCAAAAAGCAGATATAATGGTAAATCATGGACAGGCGGGTAGGAAGTGCTTGGAGCTCTGCGGAGGTGCAGAATACCTAAAATTGTACAAATTTGGCCTGCATCGAGTGCTGGGTAGACTCTGTATAAAAAGATATAAACTCGGAACGCATCCACGCTGTGACGTGGTTGTTTGGGATTTAGACTTAATTGGCATTTTCTGTAGTTGAAATTACGTAATTGGCTAAATTTACCTTGGGGGGTGTTATTTAGAGCTTCTTGGCTCCAACGCGCCCTTAAACGCTCAAATCCGTTAAGAAATGGCGAAGATATAGCCTTCTGAAGTTGTAGTACTTAGGGCTAGGGGTCGAGGTTTAGATGCTTGGAATTAGAGGACAATGGGTCGATCGTAGATGAACGGTGGATGGTGACGATGTGCCTGGATGCGCACTTGTGTTGTCTAGAGGTGGCCACCCGGATCCGTTAATAACGGACAGAGGTTAATTCCGTTAATTAATCCGTTAATTAACGGAAAATAACGAAAAAAGACAAAAATTAACCAAAAATTAACGGATTTTTGGATTTTTTGGGGATTTTTGGGGTTTTTTCATACTTATAGTTTATAGAATTCGCTATTAGAGAGCATGTTTGTATTTTATTTCAACCTATGCATACTAGATTTTTAACTAGCCGCAGTTGTTGTGATTTTTTGGGTTTTTTTTTCGATTTTTTTGGATTTTTTTTCGTTTTTTCTGAATTTTTCTCCCTTTTTTTGCAACGGAATTTAACGAACAGCTGATAAAAATTAACGAACCGGATTTAACGAAGCGGATGGCATCTTGAATGGCCACCTCTAGTGTTGTCTTGTCTTGATGTGACAGCGATGGACCCGCGATCGGGCATCGCGCATGCGATATATGCGCGCGTATGCAGTGAATCGTTGTAACACTTCTGGCCCACTCTCTGGCCTCAACGAGCTTTCGTGCAAAATGTCGGTAAGGTCCAAAAGGGTGCACTTGTGCGCAACATTGCGATTATGTGCTTTTTGGGGCATAATGGTTGTGCGCAAGATCGGCCATCGGGAAACAATGAAATTTGTGCGCAAATCGCCATTTTTGAGAGCGCTCACATCACCAGTCCGAGCGCTCTACACGACCAGCTCAACAACGTTTTTAAAAAATACAGGTACAGTACGGGTGCAGCTTCCCACCCCCAACGACCCCACTCCTCAACATCACCCCCGCCACCTCTACCATCCACCGCGCCGCCCCCTGTACTCACCCCCGCCTGACAGGCCACCCCACCCCCCGGCGCCTTCC